GTCTTCCGCTGCGGCAGAGGGAGCTGGAGGTTTTCTTGCTATTGCGAAGCGTCACTGTTTGTGGGAAACGGCATTTCTGAGACGCGGAGACCCCGCTCCCCTCCAGGGCAGCGACCTGGAGCCCATGCTGCTTTCAGGGCGGCGCTGAAGCTGCCTCTTGCTGCTCTAGTTTGAGACAGCGCTCTTCCTCAACGGCTGCCAGCTCAAACTGAGACCGTGTGCCTAAAACCCATGACAGCCGTGCTCGACCGGCGATGCTTTGGTACCTCTGGTTACTCCCAAGGCACCGAACGCAGGGACTTTGCCCGGGGAAGGGGACGGCAGGAGGATTTTCTCATCCTCGTGGATTTCCCAGCCCGCCCCCCGTGCCGCGGGGAGCTCCCCAGCTCAGACGGCTGCTGCGGTGTCCGCCCCCCTTATCAAGCTACGGTCAGGCCTGTTCAGCGAGCACGCACCGCCGGTGATCCCGGCTAATCTGAGCTGGAGCACAGACCCAGGAGATTAACCAGGTCTGACTAAATATATCCCCGGTGCAGGCAGCGCTTTCCTCTCCACCCACCCCAGGCAGATCCCTGCTCCGAGCGGGCTCTCGTTACAGCGCATGGGAGGTAATTATAGCAGACAGGCTCCCACAGAGCCTCCCCGCCGGAAGGGTTTGAAAGCAATGCCGCGCTCAGTGCTGAGCGGCAGCCTCAAACCCTCCCAATTTGCCTCGCCAGCTCATTAAGGACACGCAGCCAGAGCAGAGCGTGCTCAGTCCTTCTCCAATGCCCATTACAGCTTGCAGGTTTTAATCGCTCTTGCTCACGGGCAACAAACGCAGCTCCTGACGGAGGCATTCCCCCCAGCCCAGTCCGGCCACCTCAGGTCCTGAGACGGAGCAAACAGGCTCCATCCTGCCCATGTTGTACTCAGAGGCAGCCTGACGTCCCCAGAGAACACGAGCGCTTCGTGGGGCGGGAGCTGTCATTCTTTAAGCTGCTTTATAGACCCAAGGCTTCCTCAGGATCCCAAGGCTCAGGAAAACTCGCTGGGCTGATTCCTTACCCGAGCAGCATTTATGGAAATAAAGCATCTCCCGCGCAGCTCCGGGAGCCCCTGCGCCGCTGGCATCAGCGCTCAGCTCTTTGCTTCACCGCCAGGAGTGAGGCCAGATGTCAGCGCCAGATGTGACAGGGAGCCTCCAACGACAGAAACTCTGGCCAAAATCCCACCTGGGCGGCTCTGCCCGGGGCTCCGCAGGCAGACCCTGGCCGTGGGGCAGGCAGGGGGGCAGACCCTCTCCCAGCTACCTCCAGCAGCTTTGTCTCAAGGCCGAGCCACCGGCAGAGCCCCGGGACATCATCTACACATGGGAGCTTCCAAGCAGGGCAGCCCAAAAGGCTCATCGTCCTGCACGCAGCGGGTTTACGTCCTAAGGAGCCACAGTGTGAGGGCACGAGCCTCCTGTGGTGTTGCCGCAGGCTTCAGAGCGCGCCCGGCAGCAAGTGCTGCTTATGCAGGGGCCGCGCTTCTCCGGAGCCTCGCACAGAGGAGCCAGAGATCCGGCACCAGGTCTGCCGGGGGAGGCAGCACCCCGCCACCCCCGGCTCCCCGTACTCACATTTTGTTGATGATCCTGATGAAGACACTACAGTCCTGGAGCTGTGACAGATCATTGAGGGGATCGGTCCAAACTTTTGTGCTGTTCACCTAGAAATGGGGTGAGACGGTCAGAAGGCAGAAGCCAAAGTCACAACGTGCCACCTCCCAGTCCTTGTAGGGGACAGCAAGAACGGTCTGGGTGTGAGAGCAAAGCCAGCCCTCCCGACCACCCCCCTGCCCTGCCCAGGCGAAGGCTGAACGCAATTCCTGCAGCTCCACAGCCAGCCAGGCCGGCATGGGTCTCGTTTGACACCCTGCTATGCTTTGCTGGGACACGGCACTGCTTTGCAAGGCAGATCCAACAGCCCCTTTATGGTCCAGCTGCTGCTCACATCCCAAGCCTGCTGCCTGCTCCTGCTGCCTGCTCCTGCTGCCTGCTCCAGGCTCGGCTCCGGCTCCCAGGCAGTTTCCACCGCCGGACCAAGCTGTTCCAGCATTTCTGGTTACTCAACAGGAACGGTGAGCAAGGCTTCTCCTGCAAACACCCACTTGCCCAGAAACAGCAGGGACTCGGCTGCCCCCGGACCCGCCCCAGCCAAAATCCCCCACTTGACCGGCCCTGACGTCGTGCCCCCGAGGAGCCGCTGGTGCCAAGTAGGACCCACGCGGGCAGCACGTCCCACCTACGGAGCGAGCTACGGCAGAGGAAAGAGAGGCTTTACCCAAGCGAGGAGAGCCGCAGCTCTCGCGCCGTGAAGAGGCATCTTGTCGAGGCTACCAGGTCACGGCCCGGACCTAGGAACGCCAACAAAGAGGGGGGAAAAAAATAAAAAAAAAAAGAAATGAAGGCCAAACATAGTAGTTGCATTAATATACAGCTCGCACACAGCACCAGGCGTTCGTATCCATCAAGGGAGGATCTACCCTCTGCGCCTGGCCGGCTGTGGGTTGTACGGAGGTGAGCAGCTGGCATCCTCCTGCTTTACAGCAGGCGCTGAGCGGGGAGCGACACTGCCGAGCAGCAGCCGGGTCCTCCCCACAGCCCCCCGGGATTTACCCCAGAGGTGGGGATCCCGACGAGCAAGGCTGAAGGGAAAACTGCTGCTCGTGCTCCTCCTCCCCAGCACCTCCTGCCGTGCCTCCTTCCCTCCCGCTCCCCCCCAAACTTCTCTTAAATGTCTTTTAAGAGAAATTTAAAGGCCTGGCGCTCCAGAGCGCTGCTCAGACCCCGTGCCCAGGCAGGCCGCCCTCACCACCGGTTTCAGCCCCAGCCCCCCGGGGAGGAGGGCAGCATCCCGTTGGGCCCGTCTTTCAGGTCAAACCGCAGCAACACAAAACACCCGGTCGTGGCTCTGGCCAGCGGGCACCGGCAGCTGCCGTCACCCCGAGGAATCCTGCCCGCCTGCCTCGCCATGGGGCGCTGCAGGTGGCCGAGGGCTTCTCCCTCGCTGCGCCGAACCACGGGGTTCCACTGCCTGCGGCAGGCTGGAGGCAAGGAGCCTGACCTGGGCACCCAGCGGGGTCCTGGCGCAGGGGCTGGCAGCTCGTCGGCACTTGCTGCACACCTGGAGGTGGCATTGCCCCCACCGCCAGTCACAGCTGTGCGCCAACAACGCCGGCGGGACTGCCAACATCCCAGGAAAATTTGCCTCCCTCTAGGAAACACGAGCGGCAACTCTAGGGAGAGAGAGAGTGTGGTTCAAATAACAAAAATTTGGCATGTGTAGGGATGCTATGCCAAGAGCCACAGTGGACGTGCGGGACGGGCAAGAGCAGGAAGAAATCCCCCAGTGCTGTGCCGAGAGGCAGCCGACACCAGTGGGATGAAGCAGCCACAGATCGTGGCACGGCCCCCGAGGAG